AATTGTCCTAGACTGGGTTTGTACTGTACATATACTTAGCAGCAGGCTACCTATCAGATATGATTTTAGCTTATGAACCAGTACGGCCCCTCAGACCCTCCAGTTCCTCTCTCTTAGTTGTTCCACAGAGCGGGACAAAAACCTTTGGCGATGCCGCTTTCAGCTGTTACGCTCCGAGACTGTGGAACAACCTTCCTGAGGGTCTGAGAGGAGCCCAGAATATTGAGATTTTTAAACGCAGTCTTAAAACTCATTTATTCAGTCTGGCTTTTATATAGTGTTTTATATCAATTCAAATCTTAACATTACTGTATTGTCTTTTTATCCTACTACAATTTTAAATATTTTCCTCTTATGTAGTTATCTTAATATCTTGTTGCTTTTATGTGTCGTATTTTATTGTATTTTATTTTTATACATATATTTTATTTTTAATTCTTATTGGTGTGCATTGGTCTCTCAATGATTTTATAAACTACTTTTCGTCAATAGCTTTTCTGCACTCTTGTTAAGCACATTGAACTGCAATTTAATTTGTCTGAAAGGTGCTACATAAATAAAGTTTGATTGATTGATTGATTGATTGATTGATTGATTGATTGATTGATTGATCAAGGTCTAGAGCTCATAGAATGAGCCAAAATCAATGTCAAAGTAAAACTGTTTCACTCCAACATTTTGCCCAAAAAATACCCATCACTGATAAAATTTGCATTAGCACCAGCCTACATATTTTCCAACCATTTGCAAGCTGTTGTGGTTTACTGTATAGTTCAAAACTCTACTGGTTGACCAGATTAATTGTGCTGAAAACTTCATGGAGGGTGAGCTGAATGTGTGAATGCAAAGCATCTGAATTTTTACTCTGACTTTACCTGTGAGAACGTAGCCGGTCATAATCACCACAAGCGAGCGGAAGACGGTTATGTTCATATCCTGTGACCGGTGCACGACCATAGACTGTGTGCACTTGACTGATTTGACTTGAACTGCTTCAATTCATTATGGGGTTTTTTAAGATTTATTTTTGGTCTTTGTTTGCCTTTATTGTATGGAAAAGATAGTGGGGAACAACACGCGGGAAAGGAGCCAGAGGCATGGGTTTTCTACCTGACTTTGAAAACTCTTGTTTTATAATGCCTTTGCGATAACAGCAATATTTTGGTTTTCGTATTCATTATTATGTCAGATATTTTTTCTAGATGCAACCTGCAAAGCTGGTCGGGAAACTTCCACTGAAGCAATTTATTTCAAACTCTCTTCAGTGTTTTATTTTCTGTTTTAATTTTAAATATTTTCCCAACTACCAGCTCTGTTTGCCGGCATATGTATATATTTTATTCAAGTGTCTTTATTGTAATTATTTTCAATCACGTGTAATCATATATTGAACCTGTGCTGCCTGCCTGGAGGACCAAAGCCTCCACACATGCGGAAAAAGAACCAACGACTACGCCACTGGCGCCCCCTTTATTATGTGTCTGTTTGCCATTTTGTCCTTCTCCACTCTTTTGTTGATATTGTGAACGTATCAAACTACATTAGCATTTTAAAAATAGGGAACATTTCTCTTTAAAGAGTGTAAAAGCGCATTCCATTTCTTCTGCGTCATGCTTCGCCTCCTGTGACCCTCCCACCCCTCCTGTTTGACAGAGAAATTATTTTGCTGCGAGAGGCATGTGTGAACAATGAAAACTTAAGAGGAGTTTAGGGGCAGTCCTGCTGTCATTTTCTACACATTTTCAGGAATGCATCCGTGAAAACAGCTCGAGATAGCTCACCAACTGTTTGGATTGAGCAACAAAATCTGTGTGAATGGAGTATTCCATTATAAGAGTTCTTTTACACATTGGTTTCTGTAGTTTGATGGAAAATATGATTAATTGTACAGTCTGATGTGTACACTCGATGGGTACTTGAGGAAGACGGCGAACAAACCCAATGCACACACAACAGAGGATAGGGACAGCTCATTTTTACCCTGCAGCTTCCTACTGTTTCAATCCAGCTGGGCTCACAAATGTAACCGTGTTCTTATTCAGACCAAAGACAGTAACTATACATGTGAGACTGTGACCTTCACTTTCCTAATGTGGTTTTATAATTATCTCTATACATGTGCCATGTTGGTGACTCTTATCAAGCAGCATGAAAAGGACAGAAAATAGAGTTAGAATTAAATTCTTTGGGGGGTTATGTGAAAGCAAAACTGTGTCAAATGTATTTCACTAATGACGTTTCTCTTAGAGTTGGCAGCTCCTCGCTGTAATAGCCCAAGCCTGGGTGAGATCAGAGAGGAAAATGAGAGATGAAAGGGAGTGAGTGGCATCAGAAGAAAGAGAGGAGGCACTTCATTTGGATTTGAGAGGGGATGGATTGAAGGATGGGTGGGGGATTAATAGGAAAAAGTAGTGGAGTAGTAACTCTTCCGAAATTTAAATTGTTTTAAGTTGTTTCACTGCTTTATATTTTTTATGAAATTGTGGGAAACATTGTAGTTAATTCCATAGCATTTAGCGATGTATTTTAAAATCTGGTCTTTTGAATCAGTTGTTGAGTCATACAAGTTTATTATTACCATTAAAGCATTAAGGAAGTTTGGTTATAGGCACATCATATAGTTGAAGGGCAATTCAAAAAGAGCAGCAGGACAAAGAAGGTTAGCATGCACATCTGTTTAATGCAATGTGGTATGGAGCAAGTGCAGAACTACTTTCTTCCCGCTTAGACACAAATTAGACTTTCTCCACAGACATCATAACCTGAAGAAGTTATATAGTAGTTTACAGAGTTTTCAACATTGATCTTCGGCTCTTGTGTGTGCTCAGCTACTTCAATAAATTAAAATTACATTTTCGAATTGACTCACACTCATACATGTGATAAATTTTATTAGAGATAGATGTCTTTGAAAAAAAAAAAGATTTTACTCCATAACAATCATATTGTTTTTGTTTAAAGTTTGGGAGAGAATAAAAACATATGCAATGCATGGGAAGGGAAGAATTATGATTTTTTTTTAGGGATGCATTTCTGGCAACATCTAAATAAGACCAATCAAACGAGTTCTCTGATTGCTTTCCGTTCCAAAGCCTCATGTAATTAATTTTTTCCAGGTCAAAGCTGCTGAGTTCCTGAAATGAAATTATTTCTAACATTTCTCTAAACAATCGTCTTACCTTCATCTTATAGCACCAGCAACCAAAACACGCTGCTTTTTTTTTTTTTTTTATATGTCTGAGCTTTTTAGGGTGTGGGTAAAAGCTCAAGTAAGAATCAGTAACAGCACAGCCAAAAGGTATTGTTGACAATATACAAATATCTGTAAAAAGATTATTTCCCAGAGTCCCCTCAGACTACAGAGAAAACAACAGAGAAATGTCTTTGTGTTGGGGAAATGGGACAGTATGATGTCAGCTAAAATCTGTTTGCTGGGCTGAAACGTAATAATGCTGGGGGTAACCGACATCTGTTTTAAGAGCAGATTTTTTTTACTTGGGAAACTGAAGCCTTGGCATGTACCGAGTGTTTACTCTATAGATTAGTTTTGATATTAAATGGAAGCGATATGAGTGTGTGTGTTTTGTTAAGTTGGATGTTCAATTGAATTTGTTTTGTATTCTATTTTGTCTCATCATGTAATTTGTGAATGTGTTATTTGAGTGGTTGATCTGTGAAGCATATAGAAGAAAGAAGAAGAAAATATTCTTTATGACTCTCTGAGGGGAAACTTGTCACACTGTTGTTGAGACACAAACACACACACACACACACACACACACACACACACACACACACACACACACACACACAGATGCACGGATGCACACACACACACACACACACACACACACACACACACACACACACACACACACACACACACACACACACACACCACACGTGCACTAATTGTAGCATTTACTTTTTGTCATGTATAAATGTTGGACAGCCATGACTGTCAGATCAGCTCAGATTCTACCTTATTTATATCTTAATGACTGAATACTTAATGGAATTAAAACAGAAATTCAAACTGTTTTCCAGAGCCTGAAATATGGATTATGAAAGTGTAAACATATCAAATATAAATAGCTCAGAAATCGAGAGTCAGTGAGTATAAATATCTTGCCACGTGGATTGATCGTAGTGAAACACTCTTGTCTCCAAGTTGCAGCAGAAAGTTGGCTGTCTGTACAGAAACAAATCAAGTTTTTGTCTATCCTGTACAAAAAGTATTGTTGAAGTATTTCTGTCAGTTATGGATTACAGAGATGTAATATATAGACATGCTGCAGCTTCAACTCTGAAGCCTATGGACACTGTCTCTCTCTCTGTCTTGTGACTAACATTACAGACCTGTATGAGTGGATCTTGGGCCCCTGCATGACTCGGACTTCTGATTGGCTTGTTCCTAAAGTCCCTCGAGCTGGCACTTAACTCAGTAAAACTGCATTTTTATGATTTTATGATTTTGATTTCTAGCTATGATGTTAAAAATTGTAAGTTTTTAAATGTATTTTAATTGTTTTAGTATTTGTTTATATGTGTTACGTTTTTTTGCTTGTTTTTAAAAGTGCCTGTAACCTCGACTGCATTGGAAACCATTGATGTCCTTTCTAGAATAAATAACGGTTTGAATCATTTAGACATTAAGGAAAAAAAACAGAAAATACTTGCCCTCCATGTTAGCTCCTTTGTGTCGGGGGTTGAGCTCCAAATCAAAATGGAAGAAAATGCTGTCTTCAAAACGTTATCAACTTCGGACAAAGAGCTCAGGAATGACAAAATTAAACAATGACACCTACCTTCAAAAAAATGGTGGTAACTATTTAACATATTTCTCAATGTACTCTACTGGTGATAGTAGATTTTTTTCCAGCAGTAGATAAAGAACACTGTCAAATTTAACACCATCTTAAAGACAGAAAGAAGGAAAGAGAAAGAAAGAAAGAAAGAAAAAACCTTATTTGGTTTAAATAAACTTCAGGAGTCAGAGGTTGAAAAGCTATCTCACTTTTATATGACACTAGAATGACATTTAAGATAACAGAAAAAAAAAACTCACATGCATTTTAGAGAAATAAAATTAGGTAGGGAAGATGGAGAAAAACACACTCTCCAACAGTCTGGAATACATGAATACATCATCCTTTCAGTGACCTTTGACTCTTCATGACATTTTATCCAAATACATGAATTCATAAATATAATCTCTCACCATATAGTCTACCTATACGAGTCTCATACATCTAACTGTACATCTACTCTAGCATATTGCATATCTCGAATAGAAGAGGGGGGTCGTCAATAGTTATTATGTACTCCAGCTTCCCTGTGGAAGGGAGATCATATAATTGAATAAGAAAAAAGGAGGAAATGAAGATGACGTGGTGGAAGAGATGAAGACGTTTCGAAGGTTTCCTCTGCCTCATCTCAACAGCTACAGAAACACCCTGCAGTGTGTAGACATTGACATCTTTGAATGTGTGACTGTTATGTATTTGTGTTCGTCAGTGTGCTGTATACATGTGACTGTGGTGTCTGTGTGTGTGCATATAGGTCCTCCTGAGGTCTACCTGCTTTGGATGTCAGATATTGTGACACACATAATATGATGGGTCATGACGATTTGTTAAAATGACAAACAAGTGTTACACATTACATCAAGTGGGACCAGATTGCTTTCCATACTATAGGATCATTTCTAATATCTAGCTACACTCAAGCAGACCTGAGTCAAATCATTTGGGTTCAATACAGCAAACAAAAAACAATCCTGGAAATCTGACGGTACACCAAACCTCCGCCCAGTGTTTTACACTGGGGCAACCTGAAGTAACTTATCACCTGTTTGTGTGTACTCTGAGCCATCTTATGAGAGTTTAATGTCATTCAGTTCGCCCTGGATTCTCCTACTGAGCAGTGTATACATACTGAACTGGAGAGGTGGCCTTTCAGTAAATAGACCAAGGCTGTTGTACGAAATCCGGCAGATTGTTTTAAATAAAATCTATTGACCTTACTCAACTCACTGATGCCAGCTACAGGGTATTAAATCTTTTAATATTTCTACATTTCTGAATTGCTCGTCTCCTTGAACACCTAGTGAAGATTTTTCTCTAACCTCTTGCTGTGTTGTTTTTCTCTCTCATATTTGGATTTTCTGTAGAATTTTTTTTTGATTTTGGGTATTTGTACTTTGAAAGAAGTAAGGTGGAAGAAATTCACAGCCCTCCACTGATGCGAAAAAATTTTAAGGTGCCTACTTGTTGGAAGATGCGCCACAAACAGGCTAAAGAAAAAAACATTTTCTTCTGAATCTGAACTGAAAAACTGAGACTTTCTTTTAGAAAAAACTTTTATGTCAAAAAGTGATGCATTGTGCTCTTTCTGTGACAGTACATTGTTTTGCTTTACTTTACAAGTCCTGCAATGTTAGCCTGCTAATGTTTCCTTATTAGCAAGCTCACACAAAGCACAGTTTGGGCTAATGGCAATGCCATTTATTTTGCTGATATTTACCCATAAACCAGCATGGTATCATTGGATAAATACAAATATTCCTATGGCAGCATTGTTGACAAAGCTGGATGAATACCTAAAGGGGCCACAAATGGTGGGACTACATGATGATTAAGAAGATTAATAAAAAATAATATGGTGCATCATCCGGACACTATGTCTGTATAAAATGACATGGCCATTCATGCAATTGTTGTGACAGACCCACTATGTCTTTTCTAGTGACATGCTGCTAACATGCTACTTACATGTAGTGCTAAGCAATTATCATGTTGATGATGGTGATTCATTGGGTATATTTTAATTTGCTGACTGAGCTAAATTATTTGTGACACCAACAGTTGTTGTTGTTTTGCACTGAGGATAACTCGAAGAACTCAGGGAAAACTGGATGATATTAAACTTTCTCACACTTTTTTTTTTTTTGAAAGTTACTTATTTACATATTGAATTCAACAATTTTTTCATTTTTCTTTTCCACTATGCAATGTTAAACCTGTAGGAAATACTACTACTCTGGTAAAACTTGGGAGGGCTTCAGAAAACTATTTGTAAGTCTTATACCAAGAGACATTTTAAGCTTAATGTTTGGTAGCAATATGATTATTTGCTTGTCTTTCGGCCCAGGTCTGCACTCAATACATTTTTAGCCCTTTCATGGGTATGCAGAAAGCACAAAAAGTCCACTTTGAAAGCAGACAACGAACGACCCACATGTATTCTCAGCAGCAGTAACATAACCATTCTTCTATCTGAAAAGTCTCTGTCATTTTTTCAGACTAGCCAGTCTCCTTGGTTGTCATGGTCTACCATTCCCTCCCACATAATGACAAACGTGTCTACATTCACACAACTTCAATACACTGAAGTTGAAAAGGAACACAGAAAATATACAAGCTTTGAATTTTCTGTTATCCAACAAATCTGCTAAACAGGCAAGAAGGTTGGGAAATGCTACTGTTTGCGATGGTTATTACAAAAACCTGTACAGAGTTCAGCTCTTCTTCAAAAGAAGTTTCAGAGTTCGCCATCTGTCCAATGTTGATGACACTGTTTTAGCACAAAGGTTGAGGGCACGTTGGGTCAAGCGAGTTCTGAAATTGAATTTCAGTCCTATTAAAATAACATAACCTGAATAATGTTCATCAGTCGCTGTAATTCTCCGGCCTTTCTCTCTAATGGCTTTCTCGATATTCTTTTATTTCAGGATGGCTCACATACAGAGCCCAGAACTGCCATATCCATCAAGGCTGAATCCTGGTCACACTAAAAAGGCTAAGCCCCTGTCATCATCTTTCAGTCCTTTCAAAAAGCAGCCACATTATCCTGTGAAGAAAAATAGGATGTCAGACCTCAGAGGCAGCTGTAATCTTTTGAGAAATGACTGATCCCAAGCAGCCATATCGAAGTAGGATCAAGATAGAACAGAAAATTCAAAGTGAGAATTTCCAAATTGTGTTCATCTGGCATGTACTGTATTACAAGTCTCCCCCTTTACTGTTTGAGGTTCAAGTAATGCAATTTGTTAAGAGTTAAACTACAGAGAGGCAACAAGTGTTTCATCTATTTTTCCTGGAGCTTGTGTCTGTTGGCCGACTGCTGCTTTTCATGCTGAAGGCTGCGATATCACTGTCCTCTTTATCACTCCTAGCCCTTCCCTCTGTCCATGGCTTGGACAAGTAACTGTGTGAATTTATGCCATAAAAGCTGCATCCATCTTTACTTCGGGCAGATAGATTTGTTTGGTTCAGTGAGCCTGTGCTGTTACATTTCTTCACCAGTGGGGGAGCCAGGGAGCCCTGTGTGAGCAGTGATGTAAGCGAGAGGCTGTTCAGAGTTTCTGACAAGTGTTCACTGTTGAGGGTCTGTTGAAAGCCTTCGCCAACTGTCCCTGTGCCCACATCCTCATCTGATGGGTCCATGGAGTCCAGTCGGGGCAGCCAGGGCTGGTGCTACCGCCACCGCAACTGCTCTGGCTCCTCTGGTGCCCCCTGGTGGCTTGGAGGTTAAAAGTAGTACTACGTCTCTTGGGTAAATGATGGTCTTGGTCTCCTGTTGCCTGTTCTTGAGGGTGTAAGGATTGGCTTGGGAGGGGGCAGTGGAGAGGCACAGGGAGATCCTGATCTTGAGGTGGGGAGACGCTAAAGCTAAGCCCTTCCTCTACAGTGGTCTGCAAGCTGCCCTCTGAACTACCGGTGGCCAGGGAGGAGTCACTGTGAGATGGGTGCTGAAACAGTAGAGATCGGAGGTTAAATACAATTTAAGGACACAATTTGTTTTTCTCAGGTCATGGTGTGTACCAACAGGATAATAATTACTAAGAAAATAATGGTTAAGATATACTTTTTTTTACATGATGAGTGTTGTCCATGTTTTAAAAGTCTCTCTGACTTGTGAAACCCACCCTTTGTGTCTTAAAGTACTTGTTTCATTACAAATATCACATGGGCAGGAGCAAAGTCCAGGCACTGGTACTACAATAATCTAAGTTTATACGACCACAGGGGGAGTATATGAGAATGTCACTAAGAAGTAATTAAGAGATTGGCAGAAAAAGATTTAGATTTAGGACAAAGAAAGAAGCAAAGAGAAAAATGACACAAAGGAACTGCATACAGATGAAGGAAACACAAGTACAGGGACAGGAGAGACTGCGAGAACTCAAAGCCAAAAACAACAGTGTGCACAGAGTCTGTATCAGACTCAGGGGCTGGCTAGGCTAATTAGCTGAGTGCCGCAGAGCATTACTGTAGCAGCTGAGGATCACAAAGGCACCCAGGCACGAGCTAAACAATCAAAACAGGTAGAGGAGAAAGAAAGGAAAATCTGTCTCCATGGTTACACATGAAGAAGAACTTCAATAAGGGCATTTTCAGTTGTGTTTGTTTCATGCAGCATCCAACAGACAGGACGTGTTCAATTCAGTACAAAGGAAATCCTGGCTTAATCTATAACCATATTTTTCTGCAGTTTAAAACATCTATTGACAGTGGTAGGTGTCATGTACAGTTTGTAAATAAAGGAATTAAAAAAAAATATATATATATATATATATACTGCATACTCAGTTCGGATTGGTTATGTCTGCCATCTAATTATTTAAATCAATGTTTTTTTGGTTAGCCAACAATCAGAATCCATTATATTAACAATATTAAGATCATCATATTGGGCCTCACAAGCTTATTTTTATACCTCATTCGGCAAATCACATCTGACTTTTTGATGCATGACTGTTACTGTGGTTCACCGAATGCTCTCGCAGGAAATGTCTATTTACGCTGTTCCATCAAGTCTCTGATGTGTTGCACAGATATATGGATGTCAGGTCCCTATTCATCTAACCAGCCATCCATCCATCCATCGAAACACAGAGCCATCAATTCATCTGTCCATAATACCTGAGCGCTCAGGGGCCTGCTGTTGGCTCCGGGTGATCGAAGAGAGGCCCATGAGGCTGGGGAGGCCAACCTGGATGGCCCTCTGTGTCCTGGGCTAATTCCATTCTCAGGACTGCCTGGATGAGCTGCTGCAGCTGGGTGGAAGAAGTCTGCTGGTAGGTGGAAGACAGAGGGAGACCCGCCATCACCTCCACTGCAACCTTCTCCTTCCCTAGCTGAAAAGAGAAAGTAACAGTTTTATAAAGCTTCTACAAAGCCATGATTCATATTTTTGTATTTTTGGCCCTTGACTAGCTCTACAGGCCAGAAATGGGAACTCTTGACTGTTGTCTAACTCTGTTTGTTTGTGTTATTCTCTGTTTTTTTTTTTTTTAGTGTATAAATGTTCTTTGGTGGGTCTTGTCTGTTGGACAGTAATGGTGCTGTGAAAAAGAATTTCCCCTCGGGGACAATAAAGTCTAAAGTCTAAGTCCTTTCAATGGCTAGATCGCTCCAAAATGCTAATAAGCACCCAAATGACAGATGACTAAACACATTTACTTAGATTTCACTCCACCATTATGCAGATAACACACAACTCTACATCTCTGCTTCACCTTCACCTCTACAAGCCTGCCAGGCACCTTCTGAACTGAAGATTATATCTGTATGTTAAAAGCTGCGTAATCTTTGAGGTTAAATTTTGAAATACACTTATCCCTTCATAACCTGAAATAATGTAAATGCTTCAACACTTGGAAACAGCCTCCCTGCTAATTTGACATGTTTTTCTTCCTAAAACCTTAATCTGAAAAGGAAAACTAATCTCTCCAAACTCTCCTTTTTCCGGATTTGTACAAGACTACATGATGTTACATGATAAACCACATGTCTGTGATATTGTGTCCTACTGAACAGTCCCCCTGAATCCACTTTGTTTTGTCTCGCTCCATCTGTTCCAGTCATGACAGTCATGTAACACAGGAACAAAGACCCATCAGCATACCATAATATGTCATTCATCAACATCTCTGTGTCCTTGCTAGCCTCATCTGTCAACATGCTAATTACAGTGGAAGTCAATCAACTGTGTGCAATATACGAGACATGTTCTTGTGTGTCGGATCCAAAGACACTGAGAAATGACATGCCTATTTTAAATGATACTATCAATGACATGCCAAAGTCATGTCTTAATGAAATCCTGTTGGGTAAATACCAGTGAGGGGTACAGGAGTGCTGATGAAAGGTAACCCTAAAAGGGATTATTCTAATATGATCTGATGATGTCAACGATTCAGTTGAACCTTTTTGCTGCTCTTGGATGAAAAATGGTCTCATAAAAGGAGGTTTTATTACTGGAAAGTACTGAGACTCTCATTTACATTTAAACATTAATAGTTCACGCTGTGGAACAAGCTAGCAAAGAACAGAGGCTTTCTCAATCTTTTAAAACAGGTCTAAAAAAAATTGTATTTACTGCTATCTTTCAACAAATAGATAGAAAAATACATTTTCCTGGTTCAAATCCAATGTAAAAATATTTTTTCAATAAAGCATTATCTGAGAATTTTTACATCAAAATAACTGAATTTTCTCTTCCTGTAAAACTTTTCAAATGTCTGATGACTCATGCACTCAGGGTCTTACACTAATCTTTTCAACCAATTTAAAAGCTTAATTGAAGCTAACAATCAAATTTAGTTATGAAGTTATCTTCAACAAAGCTCATGTTTAAAATTGAAATTTGAGCGGCATCCTTGTATGTTTCGGACTTCATGTTTTGAGACTTGATTTCATTATTTTAATTGAAGGGTCTATATGTAACTTTCAAAACTACTGCGTTTGTAGTGACACTGCATGGCCGTTAGGCGAACTGCACCAGTAACCTGTTGCTCGCTCTGCCTCGCGTGCTCGTCATATGTGCTCATACGTACACAAACGAGCATCAGCCACGAAACACTGGATATTTACCGGCATAATGTTTACAGAGGAGGTAAGTGTTCATACACGTGAAAGTCTGTGAAGGAGTCTGTGTGTCTGTATTCATTCTCCATCCTACAAACAACAGTCTCTGCAGGCACTGGCTGAGAGCAGGAGTATGTGATGAGTTTGTTCGCCTTTGAGAGCTCCTAGGGCGGATAGAAGTGTGTGGAAAGTGGCCTCTGGCTGTGGAGGTGAAGACTGGGAGTGTGTGATGAGTTTGTACTGTTGATCTCTGTAAGCGGAGCGGAGTGAGGAGGATGTTGAGAACGTGCATAAAATGTCACTTCCTGGAGCTTTCGCGGAAAATACGACCCGGGGAAAATTTTATACAGGCAACACAGATAGACAGTGAACATCTACTTTTTCACATCAGTTAACCATTCGCTCATTAATGGGTGATAAAAAAACGATTTATACATGTAAAAATGTACGTATAGCCCCTTAAGGAGGCTGGAAAAATAGGATGCATTTATCGGCCACATTTGAAAGAGCCGTCTGAAATGGAAAAGCAAGTTTACGCACTGCTGTGACTTAAATGTACTTCAAATGCACCTTTTTAAAGGATGTAGAGACACTTAATTAAGACACAGCGTTGTCTCTGTTTCATCAGCCAAAGGTTTCTGAAAAGGCATTTTGAAGGTGAACATTGCTATCAGCCCCTTTCGAAAGGTGAAGAGTTGTGTTAAGCAGGCCATGAGCCTCCTGGCAAAGGACTACAATGTGTCAGTCAAATCTGCTATGCTCTTTATTATGCAATAGTATGAATAACTGTAAGTCTTGTTAACATCAGAATTGATGAGTTATAAAGAAAATTATCATCTGTAAAGTTTGAAGAAAGAAATGAGCTATTCACACCACAACCATTTTTTGCATTGGCTTCATTTTGCAACACCAGAGTCTGCTGTTCTACCAAGTCATATAGCCCAAAGCTAGCTGCAGGAATGTGTATTTAGCATGAGTTTGCATCTAGTATAGTTTTAGATCCCAGAGTACAGGGCACATGTTATTTATATTTTTTAGGCCCTGGATGTACTGGCCTTAAAGGCAGAATATGCAATTTTTTGATCAAGCAGATGTCGCCCTTGAGCAACCAGCATGAAACCAAAACAACTACATTGTTGTGTTAGCATGCTAATGCTAGCGATCTTTATAATGCTTGTATCTTCACACTGCATGTCAATTTTCCCGAAATGACCGTGTTCTAGAAACACAGTTAAGCAGTGAGTACAGTATGTTATTCTTCTTTTCTCTAGTCCCTCAATTTAACAACTTTTATACGCCGGGGGATGAGCTGGCCGGCTGTTCTGACGATGTAAACAAAGTGAAGCTACGGCTAGGAAAGCTCGGAAAACACCACAGACAGCAGGATTCGGGTGTTACACTCATTGTACAGTCATAACTCACCGAGTTATTTTCAAAGGGTTTTACTTGATTTCTGCTACATTTAAGTGTGAAAAATCTTTAAGGGTCTGTTAAGTAGTGTAGTTTGAACCTTTGATGTTGAAAACAGAAAAAAAATAGTTTCCTTCATACTGTACTACCATCATGTGTACTCTTGTACCTGTGCAATGCTCTGGACTTGGCTGCTCCAGTGAGGGAGCGTTCAGTCGAGGATGGACGCCCACCTCACACAGCTCCTGGACCCCGAGCTCGCTGCCTGAGCTGGAGGGATGCAGCCCTCTGTAGACCCCCTGGTTTAGCAACTCCTCTGAACTATGGGAGTCACTGCTGCCCCTCTGAGAGCATCACAGTGAAGGCCAAAAAAGGAAAGAGGAGTGAGTAAAAAAAGAACAAGACTGGAAACAAATGCGGAAAGAACAAGTGTGATATCCATGTGCTCTGATGTTCATGGAGCAGGAAAGATAATACACTGAAGCCTTTCATTTCCCCTTGTCATAATGGAAATCTGGTCACAATTTGTTACCAATTTAAAAAAAGCTTGCCTTTCATGTTCCTTCCTTTATCCATCTATACACGTTTGATTAAAAGTGGATGTGGTAAAAAAAAAAAAAAAAGAAGAACCGAAAACGGTATGCTTCAAAGCTCCAAATTGCTCGGCTAGGGTCGTTTTTTATAAACTGGATCAAATGAAAATGGCCTCCAATAAAGCAGTGATGAATCAGACCAGGTGGAGCTGCTCTGAGCTAAGAGTGTTCATGAAAAGATGAAGATATGAAAAACATGCATGCACACACACATTTAGGATCCCAGCATGCCCATATCAGGGGCACGCAGGGAGGCAGGTGTTTTAATCAGGCAGGAGATCACGTAAGCAGTAATCAATGATGATTAACGTGATGCAAAGGGTGTAATGACATGAGCTGACTCCCCAAAGCCCCAGACACATGTACATGTGTGTGTGTTTGTGTGTGTATGTGTGTGTTTAGTACAGCTAACATGAATTTGTATCACATGATTCAGGCTAAACCTTAATTTGAGGCTGGTTTAATTAAAAGTGCTAAAAGACAGTGAAATAATATTCTTGCGGGGATATGACTTCAAGTAAAATACATAGGCTCAAACAAACTAACCTTTCTACCCTATTTAAAAGACTACAAAATAAAGTTATTGTTTTAGGGACAATCGTGCTTCAGCCAGGTATGGGGCAACTGAGTGCGCCTTTAATGTTTTCTTTTCATGATGACTCAGACGTACACTCTGGCCCATCTGTAAGAAATTGAACCTCTCATGGAGAGTAATGCAGCAGATGCCACCGTTGCATGGTGACGCACTAAAGCTGAGTTGGCATCTTTGAAGAAACTCGTTGGAAAAAGCTACATTTCTAGAGAATCCAGGAGGCCTATTAAATGCCCTGGCCAGTCCCTCCAAAAACATATGGACATACACTGCCTTTCTTACGATGCTTATGGTGCCTTTTTAATGCATCAACTTATACATTAAATATATCCAAGCCCAAACTTAGGTGTTTATGGTATGTTCAATTAGGTATTCATTTTAAATTAGATAGGTAGGTAGATTCGATACAGATTCGAAGGTGTACATTTATTTTTATTTGTGTATCCATGTGTGTATTTCTGTGTGTGCAGATACCTGGCTGTCTCTGACCAGCAGCTGGTAGCTGCTGTGTTCGTCCAGGCTGAGGTCATCGGGCAGCGCTAGAGATGAAGACTTGTCTGACAGCTGCTCCGACATCAGAGACGCCTGCTCCACCTCCGCCAACTGGATCTGAACAACAAACACACAATGAGGTGTCAAGTTTTATTAGCATTCGTCAACCGACAGGGAGGTCGTTAGACCCTGCTGATGATTAAGAATTCGAAAAATGCATTTAAGTCCAACAGGCAGAGAAATCAAAAGGCAATTCATTAAAATCTCAGGATGAAAGTCATACTCAGTGAGCGTTGCTTCATTAATGTTAAAGTCAAAACATCTGTAAGATAATGGACACTATTCTCATCGTTATCAACCACCATCAATTACAGAACTTGCTACATTTACAGTATAGCAGAGATAAAAAATATATTGTGTTACATTTTAACTCAATTTTTCTGAATGAAGAAAATCATTTTGGTTCGAAGAAAAGATCTCATGTTCACCTCACTGCATGGAGAGGAGGTCGAATAAATATGAGATACTGTACGGCTTGTTAAGGGTTGAAAGGAAAGCAACCAAGAAGCAAAATAAAAGAAAGGAGGAGATTAAAAATATTTAGGTACATTTAGTTATATATGTATTGAAGCCAGCCTCCATGCATGTCAGTACATTTCATATACCCAGAGAGAGCAGTAAATATCCCTCTGCAGAGGTCCTCAGTGGAGCTGTGGTTAAATGAACGTAGATCATAGTTTAATACCAGAAGCTAAGAGCTACCCGACAACCTTCTGCACAAAACACATGGTCAGTAATCTGCAGACTCACACACGGCTACAGATTGAAATGTACAATCTGCCCATACATCAGGCTGGATTCATCACTTTTGCTCTGAGATGGAATTGCTTTGAGTTCTTGCGTGTGACTGATGTTTTCACATGTCGGTGTACGTCATGAGTGAATTCACGTGACGAGCAGCCAGGTTTAGAGTCTAAATCGTTCAGTGAGAAAATGTAGGATTGGACCTTTGAGAGAGACATTGAATGAAGGAAGAGAAAATGTCTGAATGATCATACTGGCTACAGAAATGAATTTGGAGTGAATTTTGACAGCTAAGCCCTCCCACAATGGGAGGGCTTAAAGGGGAAGAAATCTGGGTATTAACTAAACCTGCTTTAATTTTGAAAAAATGCCTGCCTTTTTCTGATAACTTTAAGGGATAAAAAATGTGATTTCATCAGCGGGTCTTTGGACACTTTCACTCATGACTGACATGTAAGGATAAATAAATTACAGTGTGTGACACAGCTCTAGCCGCACAACATTTTACCTGAAGAGTATATGTGCTCATTGATGAGAAAATGAAAGTGAAGCAGAAATTTTCCAGGGAAACCTTTCTTTTACTCGCACACACTGCTTATAGTTTTTTTTCTATTTCATAGGGATCTATTTTGAGTAAAAACTGTGAACTCACATTCTATAGCTTTACCATGTCAAAAGTGCATCTTTTCCCCTTTTTCCTTGTTCTGAAAGCAATGTCAGCAATGAAAAACAAAGGGTCCATTACAGTGCAATGCAATTCTCATCTGATTTTCTATTACACTGTGACCCTCCTTTTTCCCTTGCGGGGATTTGAAAAGGAAAACAGAATTATTATGGGCCTAGCATGACTTATACAATACAGATGAAAAAAAGTATTGTTCAGATAATTTAAAACAGGTTGTTTTAAATTCTGCAGAACCAATAGCAACCCAACCCAATGGTTACATTTCTCTCCAAATAGACTAACATAGCATTCTCTTCCATTCACTTCCTTAGGGTAACTGAGTGTAATGGCAAGACCCCTTGATTAACTTATCATTTATTCATTCAGCCCACCGGCCACCTACATAGAAAAATGACACAACTAATGCTAATTCTGTTAGCCTGGCAATGTGTTAGCATCAAGCTAGGGACAAAGATGTACACTCTGGTCCATCAGTGAGAGATTGTGCCACCACTGTCTAATTGATTGACGTTGCAATTTGTATAACCAGTAGAAAAATGGTTAACCTAACTGTGCTGATAATTAGTTGCAGTTTAACAGGTTAAATAAATAAAATAAATCAACCAAATATGTAGGATTACGTAGAGCACTTGATATAGATGTGTAGCATCTTTTGCACACACTGTCTAAATAAAAACAGTCAAATACATGAATATACATCACTGAAACATAAAAAAATGGGGGGTATTGATATTGATTCACTGAGATGTTTGGTCTTATATTGACCAGGGGATGCAAATGTATACAGATGTGGGATTGACTCACGCAGTCTGCCTCTGTAAGATGTTTGACTCACACTGTTGCTGTATGCTTTGGCAGACCTCTACACATTCAAGAGATGTAGTCATGTGAGACGCACACATATACACACAGCATGACTAATGTGATATGGTATATTAGCCACATACATTCACAGGATAGACAGTTTCTTTCTCTGTGTTTCTTACATAGGATGTGTATGTTTCTGCAGACAGGGTGTCTGTGATGAATGTTTGTTCCTGAACCGAGGAGTTTTTGAAGTTTATTTTGGAGTTTAAAGCTTCTGTAGTATAAAAGCTAGTAACTGGGGTAATATACAGAACATCACTAAAATAACTGTTGTCCTTGAAGTTAGTCATTTTACCTGTACCTTAAACATCAATAATGCACCCAGATACAAGAATACATCATAGAATGTATGATCGTTGCATAATATTTTCAATACTCCTACTCCCAAATATGAATTTCTTTCAACATTTATCCTAGGGAAATAGATCAAGTAGGCTTTCTCATGCAAATAAATTATTTGATCCCCCACTGGCTTCTAACCAAAATCTAAACGCTTGACAGGCATTCAAAGCAGATTTCTCTGCTGGTGGGCAAGTTTAATTTTTTTTTAAATATATGAACAAGCTAAATGACAGAATAAGTGGATATTGTCCTGCTGTGACTTTTGCCTTGTAACTGTTACTTTGCTAAATGTTGCAAAGTGCTGTGCTTATGGTCGCTTAATGTTGGGTCTTTCTAAATAATAATAATAATAATAATAATAATAATAATATTAATTATATAATAATAACAAAGGGTGTGGTCTTGAGCGGCTCTATGAATTGGCACTATACAGACTGATTGATTGATATTGAATTGGACTTTGCACTATTGACAAATAATGGCCCTAATGTGTTCCCTTCACAGCAGGCCTGGGAAATATTTACTTATCAGGGCATTAATGGTCAAATATATATTAACAATTTGTTTTAGCATATTAAAAAACAAAGAGTAAGGTCTTTTACCTGCTTTTTGTAAAGTGTCTCAAGATAAAGCTTGTTATGAGTTGATACTATACAAATAAAGATTGATTGATTGATTGATCATGATTGTACGTGCGCTAAAGAAACAGATTATTACAATGGAAAACATTGTGTGTATTGGTGATCAAAAATGATTACACTTGCACTGGATAAAGCAGACAAATTTGTTTGATTGAGGGCATGTGGCATGCTCACTAACCACTAGTTATGCTACATGATTCAAATCAAGAGCTTGACAGAATTCAAGAAGGAGAAGGGATGTGTGGTGTGTGTGTGTGTGTGTGTGTGTGTGTCCACAACCCTACTAACCTCTTGTGGGTGGCTCTTGCAGTCCTTGCAGACTGGAGGAGTGCAGTAATGATGAAAAACTGAACCTGAAAGGTTGTCAATCATGTCCCCTTCCAACGAGTCCTTGATCAGCAGAGACACACTGTCAAGCCACTGGCTCTCCTGAAACAAACATGTCAAACACATTGTTTTTCTTCTTACTTTTATCTTAAGTAGAGAATAACAAGCATACTTTGAACAGAGAACTTCGGGAAACTTGTACAATTTTAGGGAGAAAACAGATACATTTTCATGCAGCCATAGTTTGATGAAATGGTGAATTGAACTCATGTCTGGCTCCAAAACACAACATGGTGACGGCCAAAACCTCAAAAGTGATGACCTCTAAGGGTGATAGTTAGGCCAATAAAATAAAATAAAAAGCTATCCTCTAAAATGTTAAGCTACTTCTTAAAAAATGAAAAAAAAACCTTCTATTCCCGTTCTTCATGCACCAGAGAAAGTTCTACAATTTATTGCGTTATGCAATCAATACGCTCCAATCTGAGGCAATATCAATTTAGTAAGACAGTTTCTCCCTCTGACGATGTGTCACATGTAGAGATTCATCTCCTGTACTCCTCACTCTCCATCTTACTCTGTCTCCCTTCACTCTTTAATAAAACACCTGTAATGACATTACCTTGTATTGTAATTAACCCAATCTGTCGGAGTAGGTGCTCTGTTCTGTCACTGCTGGCAGGTGGAAAATGGAGGTTGATGACTTTTGCTTGCTTTCAACCCAGTCAGAGGGACAGATGAATGTCAGGTTTGTAAGCTTAATTACATGATCGCTTTAAAAAAAAAATACTCATCCACTGCCTTGAGCTGTGTATAACTTAAATGATCACTAAATGGCACCATGGAGATTATGGCTATTGGTAATTGGTTTTAGTTTCAGTGGGATGCTTGAGGGGATTAGATCAGGGAAAGGTGGTAAGGGCTGGAAATGCACCTTAAATGAAGAGCAATTTAGCTTGTCATACAACAAGCACATCAGAATCCAAGCTGTGTGCTCATCTCTCTCTTTTATTTCTCCTCCTCTCGTCTTTCCATGAGCTGGACCATTGGACATCCTGGAACCTCTCTCTCTCTCTCTCTAGGCTGTTGGTGACTCATTCCAGATATAAGGCATGTTTTTCTTTTGTCCTCCAAGATATCTCCTTGTTTTTCTTCCTCCCTTCTGTGTTTCTTTTGCATACATGTCCCTTTTCGAGTCTCCATTGGTCAAACTCAGACCCTTAATAATTGTATGTCCAGCAGTACTTGCAAAGGAATCTGTAATCAGCTTCTTGTCCTGTTTCTTTGTATTTAACTATGTGACTTTCAGAAATATTCCTAAAATCTGTTTGCAGCAGGCTTCATAAGAAATCATGACTTTGGTATTAAATCATGACAGTGGCATCAACTACTGTATGTGAGAAGTTACGGAAAACACGGCATAAAGACAAAAAAAACGACATTCTTTTTCACTGAAAGACAGCCATGACAGAGCACAAACATGAATCCTATTTAATAAATTAAATTGAAAAAAATGTGTTAGTGCACAAAGTGTTGGACACAAGTCATATACATGTCAGCTCAGCTTTTCCTGCTGTCCTGTCTACAGTATAAACCACAGTTCCTTCCAGCTGCACATTCCTAACTCCTTTTTAGAACTCCTTTCTAAATCTCCGTTTTAGAGTTAATGCTGACGGCTGCGAGGTGAAGAGGGCAGTCACAGTCGATAGCCAGACCTTGGAGGCACCCACTGATGTACTACACGCACACACACATACACATTGTTTCAAGTGTGGAGAGACGAACAGCAAGGGGCGAGGCAGCCTGATTGATTGGCTTAGCCAGGGGCCATAGTTGCGGTAAGTGGTGCCCATGACCCTGTTTGATTCATTGCACTTCCATCTGATACTCACACGATGGATCATCTCCCTCTTTTTCAGATATCATTTCATGTTAATGTTATTTTGTACATTTTGCTGTTTATCTAATTATTTCCTTAGAATAAATACAACGTTTTGTCTCTCTATTGCAACACGTGTTTGAATAGATATTACCACGCACTAAATATTCATTACAATAGAAGTGTGACATATTTATGAGATTTTAAACATCAGGAAAGGCGAATAAATCAGTATTTTTGACAATATAATTATTAACTGAATCCAGATCCGCTAAAAAATAATGAACTGTTTTTCGACCCATGGCCTCTCCAGCATGCTTTAAAAAAAGTCTCATAACCTTTATCCTACTTACAGAAAACAGACAAAAAACAAAGACAAAGAAAAAGATCCCAAAATGTGAACTCTTTCATGGAGCTACAGTGGTATAAACAGTTTGCTGATATAATAATCTCATTAACGTTCAATGACTTATTGTATTATTTCCTTGGCAGATGTTATAAGTACTCATAGTCAGGTTATTTTACTTGCGTATAAATCTAAACTTGCCATTTTTCTTGGATCAGGAGATTAAGATATGACGTTCCACATGTTGTGTTGCGTGTTCATAGAGCATTTATGTGTTCCTTTTATTGCCGTTTCACCTACATGAAAATCTCTGTAGAATGCTCGTTAACTCAACTACTTCCTGTTACGAATGTGTGTGTCCTTCAAAATAAGAGCACATTGTAATAGTAACAAATTACACCACACCACAATTCTACTACAATGCTACAATTCACTTAGCAGACGCTTTTATCCAAAGCGACGTACATCAGGGAGTAAGTACAACACAAGCAAGGATCTAGAAAAAAGGGATTAATGTCAGTAAGAGCAAACGATCAGCTTTGAGTCCGATTGGACACACAGGTGCTGACAGGCATTGCACAGAGGCAAAGCACAACATTGACGGCAGTTCTTGAGAGCTCTAATCAGTATAGAAACCATCTTATAAGTCATCGTTATCAAAAAAAACAATCATGACAATCATCATCATCATCAGTGATATCAAAACCATCATCATTAAGTTAGTAGGTATTCATGAAAGAGCTGGGTCTTTAGCTTTTTCTTAAAGGTGCAGAGGGACTCGATCGAATGGATCACCACACAGATGGTTACTGCTTATTAGAATCAAAATGATGGCCCTGCTATCCTACTTTTCATTTGTCATGTAGCACTTTAATGATGGTTTGGAAATAATCACTGTGCGATCATCAACACAAACACATATTTCAGTCAGCCAACTCACATGGAATGGATTATTATGTGAGTGTGGAACATTTTAGAGTGGATATTTGGATTCAGATAGCAGAAATGTTTTAACTCTCAGAGCCCATTGTACATTCATGGAAATCTTTTGTTGAAGTCTAAAAGAGTGAAGCCTTTAAGAGGACATTTCAGGTCTCAGGTGCAAGAGATGGACTTTTTACAAATTAGGTTGAAATATGTCATGTAACAAGATAAAGCTCCCTAATGCTAATTTGTTATGCACTATACATATAAAGAATAAAAAGCAGTGTGTAAGTTTGTCTATGTCATCAATGGGTTACATGACATTGTTTTTTTTTTTTACGGTTAGCTATAATGCAAAACATACTTTATCATGTTTTTCCAACACTAATATGTGTCCCTAGTCTGTCCACAAACCCCCCAATTGCATGAAAAGTCCATCCTTGATCTTTTCTGCTGGCTCCACTTGTGAAAATGTGTGCTCAAACAGGCCATTTGGAGATTTTTGTGACATCACAAAGGGCAGTAGCCCATCCCCCAGGTGGGTGACACTCCCACAGCTAGGTGTTTGTTCTTCCCTCTGAGTCTGCCTTCTCACCGTAAACAATAGGGCTTGGTGCAAGACACCCCGAGCCACCCAAGCCCTTCCAGAGAGGGGCGTGGTCGGACACAGCTCATTTACATTTAAAGCCATAGACACAGAAACAGCCTGTTCTGAGCAGGGCTGAAATAGAGGGGTTTATGAGCATGATAAAATGCAGGATCAGAGTGGATTTTGAGTAAGAAAATAGAGCTCTGACACTTTTTTAAACTTGTTGAAAAGAAGTACAATATGTGACCTTTAAACAAAAATCTGGTACTGTTGGTCCAATCAAGCACACCACAGTTAAGGATAAGAGGACAAATTTTCTAAGAAAATGAAAGGGTCCACCCACTCCCTCTCAGTAGTTATTTTAACAAATGCATTATCTATTCAACCCAAATATAATCATGCTGACTGGGGAGTCATACTTCACTATTTACATGGACGCTAAATAAAACCATCTGATTATGATGTGTATATACATACATACTGATTCAGCCAGCAAGTGCTGTGTTAAAGACACGTGATTGCCTGTTTCCTCTTATATTTTGTTTATAAATCAACTTCAGCTGGAGTTACTAGTGAGTCTACAGTTTCCAAGAGCATGACACTGCCATCTGAATGGGCCTTGCCTTGGTAAATGTTTCTCTGGTAACTAACTTACTCTGGATTTTGCAACTTTTTTAATTTCATAAAACATATTGCAATTCTCTTCCTAGGCTCTCATTCCAACATCTTCTTACAGTAGAGACAAAATGAAGACAATGTTTCAGTCCTCGGATTTTAAAACACAAGCTACATATTCGTTTTCTACAGATGTTTCTCCAAAATGGTCCAGTCTTAAAAGAAAACGTTGGTAGTCTTTGGAGTTATTTACAAAGAAAGTAAGTTCAGTTGTTACAATGAGCATTGTGTTTTTATATTTGTTTTTTTTCAAGAGTCTACCTCATTAAGGGAATACTGATGACGCTAATGGTTCTCATTTGAGCTCTTGGTTGGCAGAAACACTATTTTATGCAACTCTTAACTTGTTTTTGGAACATGTCCATGAGACATTACATTAATAAGACTGAAAGTACTCTCTTGCCTCTTTAAATTACAATATTACAGCTGTTTTGAATATTAATTCTGGCTTGTTTATCACTGCTTTCAACAATCTGTTGTTTCTGTACAGGAGAAGGCTGCAGTTCTGACTCTTGAAGAACATATCCGTTTATATCAATCAGCAGAAAGATGAAGGTCTAGACATTATTTTAATTTTTTGTTTGGCAAAAAGGAGAAAAAAGTAGGAAAAGAGGGCACGAAAAAGCGAGTAATGGAGGAATCATGGTATCATGGATCAAGGCTCAGTCGCAGCCCTTTGACAGTCTTTT